GTGGATGCAATTACGTGAACATACATGATGTTCCACGATAATATGGTACACGTAGATGCAATTACATGAACATACATGCTGCTTCACGATAATATGATATCCATGTACACACTATATATATATGAGTATTTTTATATAATATATATAAAAATTATATAATTATGTAAACTATTATAAAATTGGGTATCAAAATATAGACATAAAATAGATATAACTGATAGTCTGAAAATAATTGCAAAATTATTTTTTATAAAAAGAAAATAAATAAAATAAAATATGAGAAATATAAGTTTGAAGAAAGAGAGGAAAGAGAAAAAAAATAAAGAAATAAAACATAATGTAGTCGCAGAGAAATAAAGACAAGAGAGAATGTGTGATTTTTTATTTTTATTTGTAATTATGTGTAATTGATAAGGATAGAATTGTAATCTAGCCAATGGAAAAACTGAAAAAATGTTATAGTAGCAGAAAGTGATATTTTGTGTAAACTAAACTCAGAAAGTGATATAATTTGTAAATTTCTCATTATTATATTACTATTTAAAGAAATCTACTACCAATTCAAATAAATCTATCAAATCCTAAACTAAATTCACCATCAAATAAATAAATCTACCACTATTCAAGCAAACAAATCTACACATTTTTTTGATAAACAAATCCTCATTTCCTTGTCAGTAATTCGACTCCGCTTCCATCATATAGCCTATCTTTTGATCCACCGTTCGTCGTCTGTCATCTACTAGAGAAGAAGATAAATATACGAAATTCAAAATAAATCTATCATTATTTCAAAAATAAATCTATCATTATTCAAAAATAAATCTACCATAATATCAAAAATAAATCTACCATAATATCAAAAATAAATCTATCGTATAGTAAACCTACACAAAAATAAATATTCCATCATTTGACAACAAATCTACCACCACTAAAAAAAAAGAAATCTACTATTAATAAAAATCTACCAATAACTCTACCATCATTCGCGGAATATCGTCAAAGAGTTGGTGGGCGTACTTCTTGAATCATCATATCAACTAAAAATACATGCAAATAAGCCAAAGAGATAATATCTTGTGAAAGAACGGTGGAATATATCTATTGGAAGGCAGCGGCGAAGTAGATATGGTGGAATGCGACGAATGAGGATCTTTTTAGTAGCGATTTTAGAAAGAGAGGTAAAAGTGAGAATGGTTCTCTACAGTGGAGCATATCTGGTGGAGGAGGCAATGGAGAAGTGAGAATCAACGTCAGCCGGAAAAAAGAGAGAGAAAAAATCGCAAAGAAGAAGAGAGAGAAGAAGAAAAAGAGGAGAGAGAAAGTGTAAATATGAAAAAGAAATTTTGTTTAATATTTAATTATAGTTTTTTGTTAAAAATAAATGAAAATGGCATTTTCGTTATTAAAACGAAAAAATACTTCTACATATTTTTTTGTTAACTTTTGAAAGTTAGTTTAGTTACTCAAATTTGGGACAGAGTTATTCTAATAAAAAAACTATTTTTGAAAGTTGTTCTAGTAATTAATCATTTTTAGTTTTTACTTTTGGGTTCGAGACTTATAAAGTCCAGTTAAAAGTCAGAGAGTCGAAAACAAAAATCAATAGCAGTGAGTGACAGATCCACAACAATGGCGACCGATAAGAGCTCCCTCGTCTCCGATTTCCTCGCGTTTCTCAATGCTTCTCCCACCGCTTTTCACGCCGTCGGTAATCGCCGATGTCTTTTTTCCCTTTTAACTTCTCTTTCAATTTCTTTCTCCGTCGTTTCGTGGAACAATCGTTGGTCACTGAATCAAATCGTAGCTTCATTTGAGTCTCCATACATCATTGATTTTTAGTTCTAAATTACTGATCTAACTTTTGTAGATGAATCAAAGAAGCGGTACGAAACGCTGGGTATGACAAGTCTCCGAGAGAGACGATTGGAAACTCGAGGCCGGCAAAAAATACTTCTTCACAAGAAACTACTCCACTATTGTTGCTTTTGCTATTGGTAAAAAGTACGATTTTTGATCTTCCACTGATTCGTTTTCATGGCTGAGATTGCAAAACCTTGTTCTGCACTTCATCGATTTCGCTGCAAGTAAGCTTTATCTTTTGTGAACAGATACGTAGCTGGAAACGGATTCCATATAATAGGTGCTCATACTGATAGCCCTTGCCTGAAACTGAAGCCTGTTTCAAAGGTGAATTTCGATTTGGACTATTGAATTGCCATTGGTTTCCTTAATCTTGGACTTAGTTTTGGTTGGGAATGGATTGTGTTTACAGGTAAGTAAAGGTGGATACTTGGAGGTTGGTGTTCAAACGTATGGAGGTGGGCTGTGGTACACTTGGTTTGATCGCGACTTGACTGTTGCGGGGCGTGTTATTGTGAAAGAAGAGAAGGCAGGTTCGGTCTCATATTCTCATCGGCTAGTTAGGATCGAGGATCCTATAATGAGGATTCCTACGTTGGCCATCCACTTGGACAGGTTTGTAGTTGGAATAGTTCTTGAACTTTTTAGTTTTTGATTGCGATAAGCAGACTATATGCTTCTCACTCGCTTTATACAGAGAACATACTATAAGACTTGTTCTAAGTTTCGTTTATGTTTTATGAACAGGAATGTGAACAGTGAAGGTTTTAAGCCAAACACTCAGACACACCTTGTTCCTTTACTGGCAACAGCTATAAAGGTGCTCTTTTAATGCTTGCTATGTTATTCAGAAGAAACAGCATTACTTAAACGAGACAATTGTTACAGGACATGGAAGCTGTATTCATCTATTTCTTTCTTAATTCTGATTTTAAATCTTGTTCTTTCATTTTTACTAAAGCCTTTGTTTGCATATCAACCACTTGCGGAGATCAGAACCCATCTTTGTGAACCTTTAACTTTTGGTGTTCTATTTACGAGATCAGAACCATTGTTATAAAGTTTTCTGCTGACATGATATCTGACCTTCCTTAGCTTATTTACATTGTGTGATATATATATTTGAAGGCGGAGCTCAATAAAGTTCCAACAGAAGGTGGTGAAAATGATGGAGGAAAGAAGTGTATTGAAACTAGTTCAAAATCAAAACATCATCCACTTCTAATGGAGGTTGAATTGAAAAATATCACTTTTATGGTTTTCATCTTGAATTTCATATCTTGTTCTGGTTTAGTAATCAAGTATCCTCTTGTTTCAATTTCTTAGATCATTGCAAGCGCGCTGAGCTGTAAACCTGAGGAGATAAGCGATTTTGAGCTGCAAGCCTGTGACACTCAGCCAAGTATTTTAGCTGGTGCAGCAAAAGAATTTATTTTCTCGGGAAGGCTAGATAATCTCTGCATGTCGTTTTGCTCTCTAAAGGTACGTCCTTAACTTTCACTTTCCGAGGAGAATATGACTTCACTCTCTGCATGTCCTTAAAATACTTGTGTTTCAAGTCCAATTTAAGTTTATTGTCCACCTAATTCATGTTTCTGAACAAGTATGTTAGCTCACATTTAGTGTAGGTTTTGTTTAGAATCACATCTAAGGAGAGCATCTCTAACAATTTGTTCTCCTCTTTGAATGAGACCTAATATCTTACTTTATCCAATATGCTGCCGAATAAATTGATGAACAGTTGTCTGAAACGTATATTTCTTCCTTGTACATAGGCACTTATAGACGCAACGTCTTCTCCAAGTGACCTAGAAGACGAAAGCGGGGTGAGAATGGTGGCATTATTTGATCATGAAGAAGTTGGTTCCAATTCAGCGCAAGGAGCTGGATCACCTGTCATGATTGATGCTATGTCACACATCACAAGTTGCTTCAGCTCTGACACTAAGGTAGTAGCAACTCATTCACGTATTAAACATTTTAACTGGGATTGTGTTGGTATTTTTGGTTTCTTCTCTCTCATAATAGTTCGCCACTCACTGTTTTGTTTAATTGTTTCAGGTGCTCAAGAAAGCGATTCAAAAAAGTTTGCTCGTATCCGCTGATATGGCGCATGCTTTACATCCAAACTTTATGGTAATCATTTCTATCCTTTGTCATGCACATAAGTTAGTTGATGCCTCTTTCTTCAATGCATAACTGTTTTAATCTTTGTAGGACAAACACGAAGAGAATCATCAGCCGAAGATGCATGGAGGTCTTGTCATCAAACACAATGCAAATCAACGTTACGCAACTAATGCCGTAACTTCCTTTGTGTTCAGAGAGATAGCAGTAAAGCATAATCTCCCTGTTCAGGTAATGATTTGCCTGTGAGAGAGATCCATACATATTATAAAATTGAGTTTGATGAACATGAATTTTGCAGGATTTTGTGGTACGTAATGATATGGGTTGTGGCTCGACCATTGGTCCAATCCTAGCAAGTAGTGTTGGAATAAGGACGGTTGATGTAGGAGCTCCACAGCTCTCGATGCATAGCATCCGTGAGATGTGTGCAGCAGATGACGTGAAGCATTCATATGAACATTTCAAAGCTTTCTTCCGAGAGTTCACTCACCTTGACGCTAAGCTCGCCGTCGACGTTTGAGAGCTTCTTTGATCTTTATTGCTAGTTAAGTTTGAAGTGAACAAATCTTTGATCCTTTGTTTAGAATTGGTGGTCACAGTAATAATAAGAAGGATTTTTAGCCATGTTTTGATTTGTTTAGTTTTATTGTTAATTATCTCACAAAATGTGATTATTGGGTTCAATGTTCCACCATTTTACTATCATTTTGTTTTGGACAATTCTCACAACTACCATTTAGGTACCATCACTAATTTTGTTTTTCAAAAACTATTACAAACATTATTTTTTTACAAATGCTAAAAAATTAAAACTAAACTTTTAACCCTCAAAACTAAACTCTAAGTCCTCAAAAATAACTCTAAAAACTAAGTCCTAAACCAATATACTAAACTCCAAATCCAAATATTTAAATTTAATCTTCTAAACTCATTCTTTAGTGTTTGTGGTATTTGTGGAACAAAACCATTTATTGGTAGTTTTGAAAAAACCGAGGACTGAAATGTTTGTAACAAAAACTCATTTTAGTAGTATTTTATGGAATTTCTCTTTGTTTTTTCTGTTGTTCATATGACATAGTCACAAACAACAACCTAAGTGAAACACTGCACAAAACTGCACAGCAAAATGTTACTCTCAAGACAAAAGACATTCCGGGAGACAAAAACCTCAGGGTTATTTTTTTTTAAGATAAAAAAGACAGAAAGAGACATCTCAATTCTCAAAGCCAATTTCATTTCAGTTTCATGTAGACACAACCTTCTTCACCTCTTTCGTAACCTCTTCTGGAGCTTTCTCTGCTGGAATGTTCACCAAACTTCCCTTCTTGGCGTAGTAGTCAATTACCTACAAAAACAACAACCGATTTAAACCTTATCAAATCTCCAATACTCCTCAAGTTCAAATACATTTTTGTTAGGAGACATACCGGTTGTGTTTGCTTGTGGAAAGCATCCAGCCTTGACCTAAGAACATCCGCGTTGTCATCTTTACGTTGAATCAATGGCTCTCCAGTGACCTAAACAACAAATAAATCATAGATGTTACATATCTGATTTTCTACTAAAATGTTAGCACTTTCATAAAATGAATGTTTCTTTACATCATCGACTCCAGGAACTTTAGGAGGTGCGAATTTAGTATGATAGCTCCTTCCACTTGAAGGGTGGATCCACCTTCCAGTAATTCTCTCTTCAAGAACAGAATCATCGATCGCAAAGTTAAGCACTTTGTCTATCTGAGCTCCCCTTCTATTAAGCATCTCATCAAGCTATATGATATTTTTCTCAAAAAGGTCAGATTTAAATTACTAACAAGAACAGTTACGCTAAAACCAAGCAACGAGAAAGAATCAGATACCTTCTCTGCTTGAGTCACAGTCCTAGGGAACCCATCAAGAATGAAACCTTTCTGACATTTTGGTCTGTTCATTGCTTCATCCATGATACCAACAACCAAGTCATCAGAAACAAGCTCTCCCTGTACATAAACATATGATTCAGAACAACCAATCTCAATCTTAACAAGTGAAGTGTGTGTTTTTTTTTTTTTGCACTACCTTGTCCATTGCTTCCTTTGCCTTAACACCAAGAGGAGACTTAGCAGCAACAGCTGCTCTAAGCATGTCTCCGGTAGACAAATGGCACAAGCAAAACTCATCCTTTATGACCGGAGATTGCGTACCTTTGCCTGAACCAGGTGGACCTAATGATACAACCATATTCCTCTCCGGTTAGTTGACACACAAAAGCAAAAACATCACAGACATGGAATAAAAACTAATTCTTCATGTTCTTTTTTCAACCAATTTTGCAAACCATGAAGGTCTACTTTCAAGAATTTGTACTAATATTCAGTAATCTCTTCATATGATGAGCATTTAATTTATTATTTATGATAGTGGCAATTGAATTTTCAGAAAAGCTACCCGAATCTTCCTTAAACAATTCTTGTTTCCCTCAACATCAACAAATCCTTAAGAGATCTAACGAAATTGAGATGAAAAAATTCAGAGGTATAACAAAGAGATTGAAGAAGAGAAAAAACCAAATTAAAAAAAAAAAAGCATGAGATTATTATTTACGGTGGCAATTGAATTACCGATGAAAACGAGACGTTTGTCAGGTTTAGAGGCACATTTCATGCGGCGAAGAAGCTCGGACATGAGATCGACGGTCTGAATGTCTTCCATATCCACAGAAGCTGTACTACTTTTCGCCATGTTCGTCGTCTTGAGGTGTGTTGCAGAGTTTAGATTTCTCTCCTTTTTCTTTTTCTTTTTGAAGTGTGTGTAGATTCGATGCTTCCAATGTTTCCACTAGCCTCAAAAACTCACAAAAGTTGCGTTTATCTCACCTTCTCTTTTAATTCCCTTTTTATGATATTACCCTTGAGTTTACAAGATATTACAAGACATGCCAATCGACCAACCTTGGGTTGGTGAGACACCCAACTTTGAAAACGAGGCTTCTTCTTACTTTTTCTTTAGTTATTAATTAAACTATGTGAATACCCGTTCTTCTTTTTAACTATTCAAATCTTATATAAAATCAGATATAATTATTATTTGTTGTGTGTGATAGTATGTTATTATAAACAATTTTAAAATTTTTATATAAAAACAAATTTAGAAATCAAACTAAATGCAATATCGTAAATATAAAAACAAATATAATCATTATTTGTTATGTGTGTTATTATGTTATTATAAATAATTTTAGAAAGTTTATCCAAAACAAAACAATTTTAGAAATCAATTTAAATTGTAATATCATTAAAAATTTGAGAATTATATAAAAATATAATAAATATCAATCAATATCAATTAATTAATGAAAAAAACTGTTCATTTTCTTTTAATGGTTTAAAATTTGATATTAAAATTTATTAATTTCTTATTTTTAGAAAAATTATAACTTTAAATTAGAAAAGTGACACATGTCATCTCCATATCAACTGAAAATGATGATATGTTACTCATATGGAGAGAGTTGATCATCTTTTATATATAAGATTTTTTTTTTGCTGACTGAATTTTCGAGAAAATGGCAAAAATCGACCCCAAAAATGTTTAAATGTTTGATTTGAACCTAAAGTTTGCGATAACTCAAAATATATTTACCATTATAAAATTTTAAATTTCATACCTATAATTTTTTTGTGCCTATTTATATGTTTACTGTCTAATAGTTAATGTTAAAGTTTATCGACGTAGATGTCATGTCTGCAAAGGCGTCGTTTTGGTGATAACCATAAAATTTCTAAAATTATTTAGGGGTTTTTGTTTCTTCCTCAACGAAACTCGTCTTCCTTTTCGACTCTCACGTTTTGAACTCTTTGCTCATCTCACCTAAAATCAAAAGCGTTGGTAAAACTGTTGTAGAGAGGTCAGCGATTCTTTCTTGGTTGCATAATGAGGTAGTATGCTCACTCGGGTTTAGTATTTAGGAAACTTTTGATGTGAAATTGTTCTTGGTTTTAATGTTCAAAACTCCTTCACCATTCAAAACCAATAATTAACAGAAAATTATTAGAAATTTAATTTTAACAAAACAGATCAAATTTCTCACACCTTTTCTGTAAAATTTTCCAAACTCTTCTAGTAATATAGAGTTAAAAGGTTGAAGACGACTAGCTAAAGAGATCTCACAAACGATGTTGTTTTGCGTATAATTTTGGATTCTCTGTTTCACAAATATGGTTGTTATATACAGTCATGTTTTCACAAACACGATGACATTAACATATAACCACGGCACCATCAAACACTGTGAATCGTTGATGTGCACTCGCTCCGAGGACTGTCACCCAATATCTGGCCATTAATCAGATCCTTAAAACTTTAAATGCATCTATATATATTGTGATGTTTATTCTATGGTTCTTTGTTTCGTATGCTTGTGTGTTGCCACATCTATACATTTTAGATATATCGGATGCAAAATTTAATACATGTGTATGATAATAATATATATGATTTGTTGAACTTTTTCTACTTTTTCTTTATTAGTCGGAGTTAGAGCATGTCCATCGGTGGGTTTTAAACTGAGTATCTCAGTATTAAAAAAAAAAAATAATGAAAAGAGAAAAGAGAAAGAGAGAACCCCTTCTCATTTGAGAAGTTAGACCATCTCCAATGGTGAGAGACACATGGAGGTTCTCATCTTATTTTTTAATATATTTTGTGTTACTTATACATATATGTATATTTGTGAAAGATTTTTAGTTTTTGAGCCTCCAATGGTAGGTTCTTTAAACAGAATTTCTTAAGTAAAAAAAATAATTATTTAAATTATAAAAAATATTATAAATTAAATTTATTTCATTGATTTAAATTGCAAACACATACAAAAATATATTAATAAAAACAGAAATACAAAACAGACTCAGGCAATCGCTTCCCATCTCGCCGCCGTAACACCGCCGGAATAACCAAAAAGCACCACAAAACAAACCATTCAGCATAACCATTAAGATTCTGTAATTTAATCCACTAAAAACCTTCGATTCCACATGCAGTTATATATGAGAAAGTGTAATCGGTGTAAGAATAATCCAATAAACCCAATTCATCTAAGAATTATGATGAACCAAATCAGAAAATGTAGAAACAAAAAAAAAAACTTTACCGGTATAAACATAATCAGATGACTCTTGATTCTACCCAGAAATTTCTCAAGCTTCGCCGCCATGACTCTCGATTTCACATGCATGAAAGAGAGAATGATGCACCGATAGATTTAGGATGCACCGATAGAAAATCTGTCAAGCTTTTCCCGATATTCGAAAGAATTTTTTTTTTCTTTCCAGTGATATAACCAGAAAAAAACAAAAAAAATATTTCATCCAATCATACTTTGCCACGTCAGGATCTCTCATGGGTCTCTCAAGTCCTCTCAAGAGAACCGGTTCTGAGTAATTAAGCTATTTAATTTTTTTTTTAATGTCAAATTAACATGAGAAACTCTTAAAAGACCCCATTGGAGATAGTCTTATGAGATACTCACCAGATATCCAAAATACACTTGTCTTTTTTTTATTGGTTTATTTTTAAAAAGAAACTAAAATTTAATCAAATAATTAAATTATATTTAAATATTAATATTTTAATTTTTAGGACCCAACCGGTGGAGATGCTCTTATATCCATGGACCATGACCAATCTCTCAATGAACAGGTTATATTTTTCGATTATGTACTTATGTTTTCTTCCCAGTTAACGAGGGGTGAGTTGTACTAGTTAAGCAGATTTTGAAAAACTGAAATCCAAGCATATGTATAATATTCCAAAAGAGCATAAGAAAGGTACCTTTAAGGAATCTACAATGTAGTTCCAAAATAAATCAAGAGTAAAAGAAGCAAAGACTACTTTTAGACAGCAGTCAAACATAATTAAAATGTCTATGGTATTATGGGATCATGGAGCTAATTTTGTTGCATTTTTGGGATTATTGGAGCCAATTTTCTCTTAAATTTATGTGTCCTGTAACTTTAGTTTTGCAATGGAATGAGATTTCATATTCTATTTTATATTATAAAAAAAAACATGATCCAGTAGATAGATTTCTTAAGAGAAAACAAAAATAAGGGTTTTCGTCTTTATTTTTTTTTATATTAAGGACATTTCAGTCCACCTCTCTTGTTCTTCCAGTTATCATAACAAGAACATTCTTCTTTGTGTCCATATGTTCCTGACGGTACACATAAACATTGCTTACAACATAGGTTGCACTAGAATAAACATGACTCCTTTTTAAATGCCTCCGAACATCGGAAATCACATGCCTTCGGACAATCTTCACATAAATATAGAATAACATTGAATAAATTACAAAGTCCGAGATAAGATCTCGTTGGATCCATTCATCGATTATATAAACTAGAAAATAAGTAAATTTTTGAACAATATTACCTTCTACAATAAGTGAACCTTCTCCTCCTGTCTGAACATAAGTTGTTGATGACAGAATACGTTAAGATTAACACGCACATATATATAATAAAATTCTAACGATATATTCTTGTAACAACAGATATATTCTTGTACGGATTATATATTTTTAATCATCTTTGAAATTTTTATAATAATATACCTTATGAATTGCAGGTGCTTCAGATGGACTTTTTAGTTCCTCAGCCTGTAAAAAAAACTATACATATGAATATAAGAAAACTAATGTTTAATGAATTCTTAAAGAAAAACAAGTATTTTAACTCTTACATTAGAAAATCGAGTAGCAAACAACAAACTGAATACTGTAAGGACAGCCATGAGCTTCATCATTCCTAAATACAAAAATTCCTTTCACTTTTGATTTCCCTTTTTGATTTTGATTTTGATTTTGATTTGTATTTCAAGGTCGATGATAAATCTATTTATAAGCAAAACATTGGCATGTAATATCGAAGGTTATTTAAATTTTAATGAAATTGCTAAATACATATAGAATTCAAAGCATTTATTATTATTCAAAGATATGTTTTCTTTCTAAGTTAATTTCAAATAAAGATATGTTTTAGACTTTTATTTTAACAACTTTTTTTTTGTTTGAGAAAAGGGTATTCATTAATTAAAAGCAGAAAGAGAAAATATTACAAGCCCAGCCCAGCTCAAGTTAATGTATTTCGTGCAAATGTACAGGGAACAACCAAGAAGAAACATAAAAGTCCATTTAGTACTTGAACCGGATCTAGTAAGAGGCCCAAGAAGGGCAAGAGTTAGATCGACCGTCGTCGATATCACCAAAGAGAGAGGAAGAACTCCAATGATTGAGGCAGAGAGCTCGTCATCTACCAGTGTCTGTCGAGAACCATAGTTGCAGGAGTGTCGATGCTCGACTGTTGTTAACATCTCGAAAACTAGCCACTTTGTTTTGCATGTAAGAATCATTCAGTTGAATGAGAGAGTCCACCGTTCGGAAGGATTGACGATGAAGACGATTATTCCTTTCCGACCAGAGGAGATAAAGAGTGATTTGCCAAGCGAGGAGGGTGAGCAAAGTGGTGTTCGAGGAGCGAGGTAGTGCAGTAAGATCTCCTTCGGTCCCTTGGACGAGAACCGCCTGGATTAGGGGTGGTACCCCCAGACAGAGCTTCCTCTCTTGGCTCTTCCTTCTCAATTGTTGTCCAACCAGGGATCGTTTAGCCTCTTGGGGTCTTAATTCGGATCTCGTCTGTCTCCTCTGCAACTTGGGTGATGAATCTCGTAACCATCTCTTCTTCCAGTGTGATTTTGGTTTATTTTAACAACTTGCATTAAACATACTGTATTTGAATTCAAATGGTGATGGAACAATGAATGACACTGTCCTAAAATACTATGCTACTTTTGGAAATTTTAGCCAATATAATGTA